TCTTTATTTATGCTATATTATTTTATCAATATTTAGTTTGCCTAATATAACTAATATTTGAGATTAATTGGCTATGTGTTTTCTGATTGTTAATAAATTGCACAAACACAACTATTTGATAACCGCTGTTGTAGCCTACAGATTATATCATGCCTGGTGCATTGTATACTTATTGATATATTTTTTTAACATAAAAAAATGAACTTGTTGTATAAATTACATATGTGATAGACCAATAAATTGTTAAATGACTTGGATTTTTTCATTTATACTACCTTCAATATTGTCATAAAAAAATATCCAGTTCTTTTATCTTTCAGCCTTAATGAAATCTAGGCATTGTAATTATATCAGATCAGGATTCAAAATTATTATTATTATTTTTTTTAATAGCAAATAAGTTGAAAATAGCTTTGTTATGTGGGCTTTACCAACAACATTCATGAAATAATCTGTTAATAAACTTTGCTATTAATATTAATAATGAGCACTCAAAGGTATAAGCAACAGAAATATTAATATAATAAACTGGATGGAAATCTAATAATCATCATGCCAAACATATAAAAATCTTTACTAGTTTATATAAATTTTTCATTTTCCCAAAATAAAAAATATATATTTTTATTTTAAAATAATAAATAATGAAGAATAAAAAATATATCTAACACAATAGCGAAATCCAATTCATTGGTAAAAGTACCATTCATATATATTCTATAGGAAATTTATGCTGTTTCAAATCTATTCAAACTAATGTGGAGTCCTTATTTGCAAGTATGTGAAAGGGTGGTAGATTCCTTGGACTTAAAGGTTAGTGTAGGCACTTTGCAAGACCAAGACCAAGACCAGGACTGGTAAAAAAATTCGATTTTTTAAATAAAAATTAAGACAAAATAGTTACTAATACTTGACAATTTTAATTACTATATATAAAGAATTGGTATAACCAATAAACTTTTGCATTTAACTGCTCTAATTTTTCATTCGGGCTTAGTTAGGTTTCTCCTATCCTAAAAAATTACAGTAATATCTCTGTAGTAATGAGCTAATAAGTAACTGCAAGAATGTTGCGACACTCTTGCGCAAGACCAAGACCATGACCAAGACTGCGTTTGCAAGGCCAATAGTCGTCTTGGTCTCGCATTTGGGCAACACTATTAAGGGTGTATTTCGGTCACTAATTTTTATAATAATGTAATAAATGTTTATGCCCCTCATACCCGCAGAATACATAAAAATCATAATTTGTTTATATATTCTAGTTCTGTCATAAAAATAGTTAAATTAACAGAATAAAAAAAATTGATTTTGTTTTCACTTTATTGCATATAATATAAAGACAATAAATAATACCAAGCAATAATTTTATTTTATCAGTGCCAGTTAATTTCAATATTTTCAGCGTTAAATTCTATGTCATTTTGAAGGCCATATTATATACTGAAAAAACATACTCCTATTATCAAATAATAACTCTGACAGATTGAACAGATGTAGGTAAATACTTAAAATCAATCCAGAAAAATAAAGTAAAAATATATATTTCTTTTAAAATCATCTCTTCTAAAACATTCTTTTTCCAATGAGTACCGGACACGTAGGGTTATCGGGAAATGAGAAAGCAGAAGAAGCTTCAAATCAGAACCAGCTGCATGGGATAAATGGTAAAATTCAATTGTTGGACTTGATGAGAGTAGTGAGAAAAAAATGATCAAAGATCGTCTCTTGATCACTAGCGGATCTAGAATTTAATTTTTTTTTTTCGGGGTGACTCCAGCTCGAAATATTTTTTTCCCATATGTATAACGACAATTAATTTTTTTTTTTTTTTAAACTTTTATTATGATATTTACAACTGTATCAGTATGAATACATCAAGTAAATGTGTACATAGGAATATAATCACATGAAACACGCTTGTTGAGAAACCACCCATTGGTAGCACTCTAATAATTTGTCTACATGAGGAGATCACGAGGCCATCTCCTTTTCAGACGCCTCGGAGGGTATCAGGAATCGAATAGGAAGCAAGGTTGGAAACAAGAGAATTCGGATGGTTATGAAGTTTATTATGGAAGGATAGGTATCTGGATTTGGCCAAATCGGAAACATATGGAACATTGAGGTACAATTAATTTGAAAAAAAAAGAAAAAGAAACTAACTACCTATATGAAATGGTGTTTAAGTAATTCTTGAAATCCTACTGAATGTAATTACACGAACAATAATACTTTAAGAGATAGTTTTTAATATTTGTTTATATAAAACATGCTTATATATTTTTTTTGGGAGGGAGGTTCAATCCGAAGGTCCCCCGCAGATTCACGTGTGGTCACGAGTGAGAACATCATACAACGAAGGGTACAGACCACCAAGCATTTCACCAGGAGATGCTTGCCCTAACTCCGTAGTTTGTAACTATCGCTAACTTCATCTCAACCGCCATAGTTCGGTTTAGCTAGGGTCCGAATAAATCATGAGAACACAAATAAATTTGGATCTAATTAAGAGCGGTTACTGTCGAACTTGTCAATGCCCGGAGGATCCAAGACACATTGCCTTTCAGTACAGGCAGATTTAAAGAGGGCTTTCAAACTAAAAAGCCCTCTCCCCCAAAAATACGAAAATAATTTTTTTTTTTTCATTGGTCGATATTTGTTTCTATGAGAGGTCTTAGCCAAATATAAAATCAAATACAATAGCTTAAATCATAACTTATCTACTTCATTTGCCAAACGTAAGCACATTAACCACTAAAATCACGATTGTTTTTCTAATTACCGTTATAAAAATAATAATAATAAACAAATAATTTTTTTTTTTTAAATTGGCGTGAGGTGCTGTGGGAGGGGTCTTGGATCCCAGGGAGTTATGGAGGGGGATATGCGCTACGAGTCCCATAGAGCCATCATATTAGCTCCCAGTATCCCAGAGGATCAATCCTCGAATCCCAACTTCTACAAATCACCATCAGAGGTGTAGGACTTCAATTATTTATTTGATTATAGTAAATTAAGTGTCAAGAAATATTTTTAGTCCGACAAGGGTGCCACTGATAAAGAAGGTCGCTATATTTATTTATATTTCATTGTGGGTATTTTTATTCCTTTAAGTGCCGGTATATGTGTAAATTTTAATTTTTATATCGCTGTAATCATGTTGTAATAATATACAATTAAATATTAAATAATACCAACAATAGCATTTATGAAAACCGCATATGTATATGTATATAATATTGTCGGAGTCCGTATAATGTTAAGCTAATCTTAAGTATGAAAGCCTATTATAATCTTTAGGGTAAGCTCGAGCGCACACGTATTTCTTTCTGGTCCCTCTCTTACAACTATTCTCCGTTACGATCTCTCCTTTAGTTAATTATGAAATTCTTTCATATTTTATACTTTAATATTTTTTATACCAAATTATAAAGTGAAATGGTTAATTACTTCAAATAAAAAATCATTAAAGGTACTTTAGAGGAAGAATGCAATTTTAATTTCGTACGACTTTTAAAATATAACTATGTTTTAGAGATAAAAATATTAAAAACTATCTCTTAAAGTATTATTGTTTGCGTAATTACTTAATAGGGCTTCAAGAATCACTTAAACTCCATTTCATACAGTTAGTTAATTTTTTTTTTAAAATTAATTATTGTTATATATATGAAAAAAAAGCTTTCGGGCTGAAGCCTCCACCCTAAAATTTAATCCTGGATCCGCTAGTGTCGAGAATAAATCTAGGAGTTTAGCTTTCTTGTTGTTCATATCATATCAAGAAAAAGAATCTCCTCATCGATATCATTCAAATATCAAAGAAATAATCGACTGTTTGTTGTTGGTGAATATTAAACATAGAACTCGATTCTAAAGTCGTACATGAACATTAAAACAATTAAACATGCATATTTTCATTCATTCCTATGAATAAAAAGAGAAAAAAATGTTTCAATAGAAATATAAAATCTTTTGGCGGGCAGTGGTTTGGCCAGACCTGTGTTAGGTTTCATATATATATATATATATAAAGTTGCCGAAGAGGCATCATAGAAAAAACTAAATTTATTTAAAATTAGATTTATTTTTTTAAATACGTTTTCATTTTTATTTTTACTAATTATTTATCTCATTTAATTGTCTCATATATTGCAAAAACCTTTGTTTTTAAGCGTTTATAGAAAATTGTGTAAAAGCTATACTATCTAGATTCTTATAAGCTATTTAAGGAAAAGATAATCACAGAACATTTTATTATATTGGTATTCGGTAAAAATGTTTATTTATATATATAAATCTGTTGCTGTTGTATAGAATAAATGATTCAGCAATTTAAGCTTTATGTGATAAGAACTCGCTTAGGACATCAAAAGATAGGCACAGTGTTTAGTTAAAAATTTTAGGCTTATATTTACATAGGAAGAATTGCTGAATAGACCAAGTTATTAATGTGATATTTGATTCATTCTTGTTTTCCTACATTAACTAGAGACGAAATACAACTGATAACTTTAACAAAAAGTATTATATTATTATTTAATTTAAAAAAAATCATTTGGCCAATCATGATCATTTATTTCGATAGATTATTAATAAATTATTTATACCTGAATTGAATTCAATCAAGAAACGCCTAGAGCAGAAAGGGCGCCAGTTTAGTTCTACAATGACATGATGCATCGTGTTATATTGGTTGAATATCTGACATTTTTGTAAAATATATACCATCTCAGAACAAATAACAATTATATCATATCTTTTTCATAAAATCTAAAAAGGAAAAGGAAAAATATTTTTAATATATCGATATTTTCAAAACGGAATTCATATAGTTAACGTTTCTTAATTGTCTTGAAACTATTAGTTATGCATGATGTAGGAGTGAACAAATATCTATATATATATATATATAATAATATATCATATAATTCATTAAAATGAGAAACAAGTGATACGTTGGCAGCACTTCCATATTTTATACGCCAGTTCTTGACGTCATCTCAGTTCAGTAGCAGTGGACTCCATATTTTTACAAGCCGGATTTTATCAGCTTTAATTATTGTTTAGTTTTCATATCAAAGAAGAAATTTAATTTTAATTTATTCTTCTACTTCATCCAGGTAAACTATAAGCATTTTTATTTACTTTATCTGTTACCATGAGTTAAGCGTATGTTTATTATACCACCAGTTTGATTGCCCTATTATAAACTTTTAGCGACCAACTTATATCAGCAAGATGTCACAGAGAGAGCATCAGATAGAGGAGAAGCAGATGAAGGAGGTTGATAAATTAAGGAATATAGAAGATTCTGGAATTAGCGCACCTGATGACCACTTAGGACAGGCTCAGGAAGAGGCAAGTTACTTTAATTAATCTTTTGTTTTAATTACTAAAGATGGGTCAAAATAAAGTTCTCCTTTAATTATAGAAATTTAGTTTTGAATAGGAATGGTGTAAATAACTTTAATGGTACCATTATAAAAGTTTCATTTCAACATGGCGGATGGGCGTGACGTGTATAATGTTTAGGTTAAATTACGCGTCTTTAAAGGATGAGAAATCCTCTTCAGCTGCAATCTTCACTTCTCCCTTGGAAATAAAAACAGAAATGAATAATTTTTCGTAGCTATTTGAAGTTTTAAATAAATTAATGGAGATTGACGCCTTGTTAACATAACAAATAATATACACCCTTTAATACTTCCTTATGTATATTTTTAAATACAAGAAAAAAGTAGTAACATTTATCGCAAAGACAAGTATTATATCACACGAAATGGCGTGATGTATTAAAAATAATGATAGGATATTTAGCAATGAAAATTCCATCCACCATGTTATACTGACCTTTCAATAGAGTACCCATGTCACAATCTGGAGTATGGAATTTTTTAATCGTTTAAAAGGTTATTTAGTTAGTCATTAGTCACATATAAGGATTTTATCAATTTTTGATCATCTAATAATATTAAATTTGCCTCCTATTTAATTATTAAAAGTGAACTTTCATTTTTATTTTTCTCCTTAGGATTTATATGAATTTTATTTATTTTAATTTTAAATGATTGTAATTTGAGTTCTACCAATGGGTAGTTTTTCTTCATGTTGTACATGCCATGTTACCAATTTCTCATTTACTTATTGTATTCTCTATGTAATACAGTTGTAAATTCCATTAAAATAATAAAAAAAAGAAAAGATTATAAATATTTGCATAAAAGTGTAGTCAAAGTTATGACTGACTTTAATGATTAGATTTTAAATAGATTTGTGTCCAGAGAAAACCAGGGGTGTCCATATCCCAAGAGCAATAGAACATGACCCTTCTCCAATTCCCTCGCCCACCACAAAAAAAAAAAAAAAATATATATATATATCTCCCTCTTCTTAAAAATGATGGAATTGAAAGTGAAATTATAAAAAATGTAATTTATTTATAATTAAACTAACGTTTTGTATCATATTTTCCCCTTTTCTCTGGTTTGAAAGTTTCCCCCTGAAACTCCTCAAAAATATCATTCCCACCAGATATTCAGAACCCCTTAAAAATGTGTTCACCTAAAAAAGTTTGATGGCATAATTTGTTCCATGACACCCTGTTCTAGGCATCATTGAAAAAACTATGTAATTTCCACTAACTGGTGTATGTTTGTATATGATTTCAGAATATTTTTCAATAGAAAGAAAAGTAAATTTTATTACTGGACACTTGTTCTCCTAAAAATAATAGAAAAGCAGGATTACACTTAATTTGTCTGGTATAAAATTATAATATAATATATTATAAAATAATAAAGGTATAAAATTAAAATAAAAAGCAATCATAAGTATAAACGAATAATAATAAATGGAAATATAAATTTATTGTAATATTTCCAATTTTGGTTGAAACTCAACATGTTGGAAATAAAAAATTGATGTTGACAACTTTTAAGAATTTTAAGAACTATGACCAATTCAGTCCACATTCATCTTTTCTCGATTTAATTATGACATGATTCACACAATGTTTTATTATTTATGCATATTTCTCTCTTATAATTATATATTTCACACTCTGTTCTGTCTAAAGTATGGATTAAAGCTACAAATACAACAATTAATTAATTACTCATTAAATCTCCTAATTTTTTAAGGGTATGTATAATTAATGAAATTTATATCAAGGAAAATCGTTTTCTTTCAACCTTACACATCTACTCCATGCTTGAATTCATTTTAATTTCCTTGACAACATTTCAGGCAATTTTCCCAATTTTCAAGTCAAATATTTATATCATTATTTTATAATCTAAATAATGATATTTTTTATATAACGATTGTAACATTTATCTCCTCACATCCTTCTAAATATAAAATTCATAACTTATTTATGAAAAGTCAATTCTAAAAAAACTGTTGACCGTCAAAAAATTAAACATTATTTTAAGTTTACATCAAATGTTACTCATTTTCGTCCTTTTAATACAACAGCCTAATGTACACTCCAGTGGACTTCGTGTTATTTTGTACTTAAATAAGAGACTGGGCAAAATGTTTTCTTATTAAATTAAAAGCATATTTGAAACAAATTCAATTCCTTTTTAACATGAAAATCTTTCTGTCCATGGTTATTATCACTGATAATATAGATTTCCCTGTATATCCTGAACTTTATTGAAAAAGATTTTAGGCTCTAACCGTATTATTATACACACACTTATATATACATATAGCTTTTTCTTCTGACAATCCTTGGCACTTGCTGCTTCAACATCTGCTGTGACATGTCTGTTTTCCACCATATGTATGTCTGTCTACAGATTATCCTATTCCAAATTCTTTGGTTGTCCTTTACTCTAGTAGCAAAAATGTATGGCCAAGCATTCCTTACACCACTCCATTCGAAACAGGCAAGTCCATCATAAGTGGTCTTATTTAGGGTCTTTCACCTCCATAAATAACAAAATGTCTAATCAGGGTTTAGTGCATGCTTACTTTTAAAGGAGATCTAGCAATTAACTATTAATATTTTTATTTTTATACTAATTATTGATTTTATTTATCTAGTGAGCAATATGTAATTAGTTAATTGTTTATTATAAATTCTTTTATAGAACAAAAGAAGTTCAGAAATGAAGTTACCTTATAAGATGACCTATAAAAGATCTCGAAAGTCAATTAGCAGTGAAATTGAAGAGTCTATTCCAAGCAAAAAAAAACCAAAAGAAGATTTGAGTAGGAAAAATTACAAGAAGCATGGAAATGAAGATCAAAAGAAAGGTAGAGGCAGAGGTAGAGGTAGGAGACCAATAAACAAAATAAATAATAAAGATTTTAAAAAAGAAGCAGGTAGCCAACCTGATGACCGTACTGAAAATTCTGGCAGAATTGTGCCTCCTGCCATTAGCACGAATTGGATTCATGTAGCATTGAATAAGTTTACTAGTGCTGCCACAAATGTTGCTAACATGACCATAATGACCCACAAGAATCTTATTGATTGCAAGAATAAAAAGATTAATTTGAAAAATATCAACTCTTTGGAATCAGTTGTAGATACACAACATAAGTTATGCTCGTTGTTGGTTTCATTAGAATCTAATGTACGTATAGTGAGGGAAGATCTTAAAGAATATGTTGAAGGATGGTGCCAAATTGTAAAAGATGAAATCAAGGATAAAGAAGAGGTTAAAGAGAAAAAACCTAAAGTAAGTAAATTTCCTGTTTAAGAATCTAATTGTTTCACATACATTGTTAGTTTGTTGGTATATAATATTAAGAAAACAAATGGATGAATTTAAAATGACTTTATTACTATTCCCTACAAAAATAGTAAAATTTAACAAAATTTAAAAACATCAATAATTTAACTTCAAAATTAAAGCTGTAATTACTAATTGACTAATAGGAGTGGGATGATCCATTAACATATTGGATCCTCAACCCCCGGCCTTAAGTTTCAGTTTGGTTACTCTGGAAAATTTAATTTCTGTTCTGTCAGATGTGGAAGAACATACATATTTGAGTATTGATGATTTTCCTCTAAAACCTTGTATATCTGTAAAAACAAATTTTATACAAGGAAAAAAAAAACGATAAATTTCTTTTTCTTGTTCCATATGGAAAAATCCTTGACATAGCTAAAATCATAACATCACACACAATAAGTATTAAAGTAAATTAGAGAACACTAATAACTTACAAGATTTTATTATTTTAGAGAATTGGACTTATTATTCCTTGTTATTGGAATAATTGTTCAAGGGTTTCATAAATAAGATTTTAATATACAAATTATGGTTAATATCACCTATATATTAAGAAAGAATGAACAGATTGATATAGTTATTTAATTTGTTGTTAACATTATTTGGTTGATTAATTTCAGACCTCAGAGGTCACATCAGAGGGTGGACAGGAGAATAATACTCAATCTGAGGAAAAGAGTGATAGGTATTTTAATTGTTTTTATAATTTAACATCATTTTTTTTGTTTGACTTTCTTTTGTATAACATGGTTTTTCATTTGAAGTTTAAATTTAATGTATGTGAGTATTTATTACACTTTTATGCAGTCATCTTAAATCAGTTTAACTCTTGTGGGTTCTGTTATACTGTCTGCTTTTAAGTGTCCAATAACTTTTCCTGGAACAGTTGTAGTAGCGAGAGAAATCAGCCCTATTTGATTTGTCAAAACATGTTAAGTTTGATATCATTAAAGTAATTCTAGTTATAAATGAAAAAAATAAATTTCAAGTGTTAGTGTTACTTTTAGCACTACTTGCCTTTCATATTTTTATTCAGGTTTCATGTCTAAACAAACAGGAATATTTGAAAGAAACCATCTTATCTTGAACATTTAAATTTACTTTCTCAACTTTATTTCCTTCATATTTGGGGTTTTACATAGATCAGTATAAATACATAAATGGTAAAGGAAACTATTGTTATCAATGATTTTTTTTTCAGTATCTCACTAAATTTATAAGATTGAGGTGGTCCTATTAAAATAAAAATAATTAAATGTCTATTTTTTTTTTAAGGAACAGCTCATTCATTAAACTACTGAACAGTTTTCAATGTTCGCATTTGAAATATCAGATTATCTCTTCCAGGGTTATTCAGTGTTTGGATTAGAGATGTAAACAGTTTTAGAGAGTTAAAGCAAAACGTTTTAGAAGAAATTTTACAGGACTTACAAAAAGGAAATTGAAATATTGTCCACTGTATAAAAAATAACTAATCTTTATTTTGGAATGAAGAACATCCAAATAATTTTTTGCGATTTTTCCTTGAATTCTAGTCAAGATATTAAAAAAAAGTATATTAAAATTATATTGGAACATCTTCTGTTTGGCTCTAAGCTCAAATATCTCTACAGGGTCAATCTAGATTTTTTTTTTTTTTTTTTTTTTTTTGTCATGGTCAAATGTTAAATAAATATTTCTGCATTCAGACTACAAACCCAGTTTGACAATGAAGATGAGATAATGACTAAGTCAATGGAAGGTGCTAACCAAGGTGCTTCTGTTGCTAACCAAGTAAAGTCTGTAGAAGAAAGAGGAGAGGAAACATCCATTGCTATGAAGGAGAATCAAGAGCCTGAAGAGTAGATAAGGCCAAAGAAACTCTTATTTGATAATTTTCAATCATGAATACATGCTTATATTTTAACAAACAATTTTCTGAAACTTTAAAATTTGTTATATAGATTTTCAAATATTGAAGATATTTTAAATTTACTATCATGTGATATTTGAAATATCTTATACTGAATTATGTACACATTAATTTCATTAGTGATGCATTGTAAAACAACACATTTTTTTAGTTCCCTGAAAAAATATAATAAACAATATTATTTTTTAAATATTTTTTAACATTTGTTATTCAAGTAAAATGATTTAAGAAGATAAAGAATGTTAAATGATTTATCTAAAGATAATTTCTTTAAGTGAACTATTGATTGGATTGTAGTGTTAGCTCAATCAATTTTTTTTTTTCCATTTTAATATGTTACTGGAGGTTGCTACATATGTACAATTGAAAAGTATGCTTAATAAACAGTTTTCAATATTTGAAGTTATTTATGAACCCAATTCTGGACCAACTCTTTCCTCATTATACAAATGGATAACAATTAAATATCCACTATTTTCAAATATAAAATAAAATACAGATAACCAAACCATGAAGAAAACTAAAACATACACAAATAAAAGGTAGAAGAATTTACATTACAGTTTATGTTATCAATAATGTGGATAATTTCAAATATATGGGGTAATTTACCACTGTGAGAAATAAAATTTTAAAAAAGAAATAAAGGCAAGGCTGACAGATGACAATACGTGTTCGCATACAATACAGAAGGAGCTTTTGAAATATCTTCTGCAAAGCCAAGTTAATAATATACAGGAAAATTTTTAGACCAGTAGCAAAGACAGGCAAAATCTACTCTGAGCATCAAAGAATTTAAATGGTTGATGATTTACGAGCAACTGAAGTAATGATTAAATTCTTAACAGAGATTACTTTTAAGAGAAATACTTGGTACATGGTACTCGGAGTTCTTTCCTGTATCTGTCCAGTACTTCAACGAAATGTTGGTTCTCACCCAAGAAAAAGAAAAAAATTATCTCCTAGCATTTTTGTGTAAGAAAAAACAAGTTAGTTTAGCCCAGCTAACTAATGTAAGGGAAAGATCTACTGAATTATATATATATAGAACAATAGAATATCTGAGTATGAAAAAAATGATCTATATCATGATACTATAATAACCTATATAATTTCTATTTAAGACTTTGTACACACCAAATTTTCAAAATTCCATCAAACCCTTTTCAACATCTTACACTACAAGAGAGGTAGACAAAGAATGATTATGAAGAAACCTTTCCAACCTTCCAAATCTTTCTTTATCCTATCCAGTTCCACTTATATATAAAACTATCCTAGAAGATTAAGGGCATTGCCCTTAGCTTTAAAACCTTTCATAAAATATGACTTTTAGAATCCTGAAAGTACTCATATTATCCACTAATGAACTATACACTTAGTGATTAGGTACTCTTGTCTCCATTGGCTTTTAAATGAGTTGGGAAACTGGCATCTTCCAAGATCAGTTTTGGGTTAACTATGTGGGAGATGGGCTTAATATGAATGCTATAAATATACATGATTAGTGACAATTTTTTTTTCTTTTCTTTATTTTACTTTGTATATTTACTTATTAATATTTCTTAAGACTTTATTTCATTACTTTATTTAAGTATTGACACATGTATTATACTTAATATTCCCCATGAGTTTTGGCAAATGACCTACCTCTTGGATTCATAAAAATGAGCTTTCAGCTAGGATTGTATAAATGTAGAATATATTAAAAATTTTGCTATTACAGAATGTATTAAGAAAATTATAGTTGAAATTATTGGGAATATAAAAAGCATATATGTACAAATTAAGTAAATGGACCTTTTGCTTAATCATAGAAGCTGGGCTAAACTAACTTGTTTTTTCTTACACAAAAATGCTAGGAGATTAGAAGAATGCAAGTTAAATAGCATACCAATAGCATCCATTATAAATAACTGATTTCTACGGATCCTACATATTACTAATTACTTAAATTAATTCGTAAAGCATGAAACGTTTTAATTCTAAATAACGCAGGAAGGCAACAGTAACCTAGAAACTCACATTCAGAAAATCAGAAGGTTTTAGGATCAGATCGCTTCAAAATTTCCAAAACATTTGATCCCAAATATTATATTATTGTTCAATAAATGAAGTTGAGATACTAATAATAAAAAAATAAAAAAACTTGAATTTCACTAAGGCTGAAAGATCAAAGAACTGGATATTTTTTTTATAACAATATTGAAGGTAGTATAAATAAAAAAATCCAAGTCATTTAACTATTTATTGGTCTATCAAATATGTAAGTTAAACAACAAGTTAATTTTTTTATGTTGTAAAAAAATATATCAATAAATATACAATGCACCAGGCATGATATAATCTGTAGGCTACAACAGTGGTTCTCAAATAGTTGTTTATGCAATTTATTAACACTCAGAAAACACATAGCCAATTAATATCAAATATCAGTTGTTTATTACACAAATGATAACTCAAATGAAACAACTTTTATATCCATAAATTTAACAATAATTTCAATGACTTAAATGAAAGATTTACAGTTTACAAGAGGAACAGTAATAAAAATAAACATTTCATAGTTAAAATTATAATCAATGCAACAGAGATAAACAATGACTCGTAATTTGTTAATTTAATTTATCAGGGCTTGAGACAAACTAAGTATTGATAAAATAATATAGCTCATATTTTAATGAATACATATCCATACATAGATTGTATTTATATCAGATCAGGATTCAAAATTATTATTATTATTATTTTTTTAATAGCAAATAAGTTGAAAATAGCTTTGTAATGTGGGCATTACCAACAACATTTATGAAATAATCTGTTAATAAACTTTGCTATTAATAATGAGCATTCAAAGGTATAAGCAATAAATATACACATTAAAGTTATTTAAGTAATAAAAATATTAATACAATAAATGATATGGAAATCTAATAATCATGATGCCTAACATATACAAATCTGTACTAGGTTATATAAATTTTTCAAATGCCCAAAATAAAAAATATATATTTTTATTTTAAAATAATAAATAATGAAGAATAAGAAATATATATAATACAATAGCGAAATCGAATTCATTGGTAAAAGTACCTTTCATATACTTTTAAGAAATGAAATAATCATTTAACCAACAATTCTGAGAATTTTGAAGCAATTTCTTAAATCTCCAAAGCTTTCAAATAAATAAAACTATAGTTTTTACAAATTCACTAAATATTAATCCTTTTCACTAAGATGTAACTTTTACAGCAATTATCATGATATTTGTATAACTAGAAACATGATTATATTCAGAAAAGATGGGATTTAAAATTATAGTTTAAATTATTGAGAATATAAAAAGCATATATGTACAAAATTAAGTTAATGGACCTCTTGCTTAATCATAGAAACTGGCCTAAACTAATTTTTTTTCTTACACAAAAATGCTAGGAGATTAGAAGAATGCAAGTTAAATAAATATAGCATCCATTATGAATAATTGATTTCTATGGATGCTACATGTCACTAATTACTTGAAATAATTTGTAAAGCAAGGAATTTTTACTTAAAAACAAAGTAGGAAGGCAACAGTAACCTGGAAACTAACATTCAGAAAGTCAGTAGGTTTTAGGATCAGATTGATTCCAACTTTTCAAAACATTTGATCCCAAATATTATATTATTGTTCAATAAATGAAGCTGAGATACTAATAATAAAAAAAACTTGAATTTCATTAATTAATAAACAGATCATATTCATATATAATTTAGAAGCAATCAATACAATAATTTTGTATGGATTAATCTTCAAATATATTTTGCAGAATTTGTTACAATTTTGTAATAAGAATTTTAGAAGTTATTAAGTACAAAGGTTAACAAATAATAACATAATGCAAATAATTCTTTTTTTAAATATTTAAATAGAAGAACATTAAAAATTCATATTTGAAAGATTAATACTTAAAATCATATTGATTTTTAAATAAATGTACTTTTTTATTACACTGGTTATTTTAGTTATATTCATAATTAATTTAATGAATGCCCTCTCATTGAGAACCACCGATCTATAGAAAATAAGTTCAACATAAATAACACCTCAATAGCAGAATAAAGTACAAACAATTATCAGTTTTTTAATTATTTAATGGTATATTAGTACAAAACAATACTATGAAACATATTGGTCAAAATTTTGTTTTCGAAGCAGTTTTTCGTTTTTGTACAATAAATACAATAAAATTTGTATAAACATATATAATTTACTAAAAAATTGAATTTATAATACAATGAATTGATTTAGTATCATATAAAACAATGCATATAGGCTTGTACCATTTCAATAGCAAGGCAAGTGTATACGTTTACATGTACACAATCTTCTCAGGCTCACATGGGAAAATAAAACCATACACCCAATATGATACATAATTACAAATTGTACACTATAAAAAAAATATGAAAGATAAGGGTCATAAATGCAGAGCAATATTTACATCCAATTATTACTTACTGAATGAAAACCATACCATACTGCACAGCACATTACCTTTGCAGGGAAGTTAAAGAAACTAGTTTTAATGAGATAGTTCAATAAAATAAACACTATCTTGGCATACATATATGTAAAATTGTAATAAAAGAGGTTAATTTTTAAGAATTCGGGGCTTGAGAAAAGAGGTAAGATATATTAAAGCTTTTCATTAAAAAGATTTATAATAAGCTACTTATAAACTTTATAAGCAAAATTTGGTAATCATATAACCTTGTTTTATTTGGTTAGAAATTTACATCACATATATAATATTTAAGTATATCAGGAAAAACGTATAAGAGATTATTTTAACATAATCATATATTAATCCATAAAACTATAAACTCTCATATAACAATAAAATAGACTAAAATAAAACACTGTATTAACTAATTAACAATTAATACATTGATTTATTTTTGCCTTTTTTAAACATAAAATATAACATGACATAATCTTCTGAGATAAAAATAAAATAAAGAATTTTCGGGATGCACATTATGAATTAATTAATAAGTCAACACATAGATTCATAGATACATCAAAACAATTATACCTTTAAGGTAGCTAAATTTATGATCATAAAAGAAAATAATACCAAATATAAACAAATATTAATACAAAACAGTTTAACATAAACATATATATATATATATATATGCACATACACATATATGATTTCATTAATACTTATAATATTATATAATGATCACACATACATTATTAGATAAGCATACCACATGCCATCGATATGGAATGAAGACAGGAAATTATCTTACAAAAACAAAATATAAATGTCTCTAGGCTATAGCTTTAGCCTCAGGTAAAAAAGTCTCCCAAAACTTGACAAGCTGCAAAAATATTAAAAATTGATTATTAAAATGCTATATTAGCATTGATTGGTATATGCAGGTAAATTGGTTAAAACAAATATATTAAATAAGCATATATATCAAAAAAAAAAAAAAGATTAATGACAGATTACTGATAACTGGCATGTTTTATTTAGATATATAGTGTCAATTCATTTGTCTCAAAATAAAATTAATTGTGGAAGTAGAGTAAATACATTTAATAAGAGTGTAACACACATTTGAGAGAATAAAACGGCATATTAAGTTAATTAATTTATGAGCTCACTTAAATATTTATTTTTTTACAAAATTCAAACAAAATATTTTTATTTTAGATAACATTAGATAACACTAGGTCCCACTCCTTATTGGTCACTTATTAAGCTTTGGACGGGACTTTTTGCCCCACCCTCCCTATTCACGAAGCCTAGCTCAAAGCAACTTGAACTTATTCGAATCTGCAGAAATCTATGAATTCTGACAGTAAATAACTGACTCATTTCATCATTTAATAACTCTAGAAACCATGGAATGATTTATACATCCTCAATTCGATGCTAGCTCATCCATATTTTTCAATATATTTCGATCCTGGTGTAATTATTTTCTAATAAGCAGGCTTCAGTACTCATGTTTATTAGAAAATAAGCACTTTAATCAATAAAAAAAAATACAACAAACCAATTATAAAACAAACAAATAATGAAAACATTTACAAATTGTTTTCTTTCAATACAAAAATAAACAATATTGAATACATTAAAAAATAACTATTCTTTATACTAACCTGGATTTGATGTTTTAACTGATCTTCCATGTATCTAATAAATACTGCTTTAAATTCTTCTACCCTAACAGCTTCAAACCTTTCCATCTCTTTTTTAATCATTTTAGAAATGCTATTAAATTCTTCTTCGCACCTTTCTACTTTTGATTCCCACTTAAATAAAGAAATTATTCATGAATTCTTTACAGACAAGTAGTTCAATAAGTAGCACTAAAATCTTAAAAAAATGATAAATAGATGTACTAAGTGAATAAGCGATATTTTAAAAAGGTAGCGATTTAGAAAAGAAATTTCTGTATAAACTCAAAACTGCTAGTAACAAAATAGTTTGTTTATTCATCTTTTCATTTAATGTATGTAAATTACAATTATATCTTCCAAAAAGACCTGAAAAAAGTATAGTCAACCGTTATGGAAGGTTAACTTTTAAACTGTTTTGAAATCATATGGTGTAAATAAACACAATTAACAATGAAATTTGCTTATGGTCAAGAAATTTGTAATTTAATATATTTCTTGCAGGAGTACATAAAATCTATTTTTTTACGAAGTAAAAAATTAATTACATTATGTTAAAATTTAAATATAAAGTTAAGAATTGGTGAAGTCATCAACCACTCATTTGGACACTTTTTTGGTTAAAAATGATGCATTTTCATACAACTCATTATTAGGTTTGAATGCTATTAAATAATTTTAGCTTAGGCAATCTGAAGCTTTTAATATTTCTTAAAGAATGAATGAAAAGATCATTCAAAAAGAAAATGGTAAAGAGAAGAATTCAATATTTAAACAGATGAAACAAAAAGATAAAGTAATCAATTTTAATGAAGATGAGGATATAAAAGAATTCATTGTAAATCTCATAATATAACATAACAGATGAAAACAAGAAAAATAAATTTGATGTTGGCCAAGCTAAGTCAAAGAAGGTAGAAATAAAATTCACAAATGTTTAATATAAAAAAAAACAAGTGAAAGAACTATTAGGAGCTAGTTTGATAAAGGAATGAAACTCAGCTTTTGCCTAAAAGAAAGAAGATGCAAGTGAAATGATTATGTATAGATTTTATAAACTTAAATAAATCAGTCGTTTCTGAATGTTATCTTTTTCTATGATTAATGATTTAATTGAAAAAGTATGTTTAAAGATTTTAGCTTAATTAACATTAATTTAGCATTTTGGTGCATTGAAATTTAAAAAAAAGACTGCAAGAAAATGTCATTCATAAAAAAATATAAGTGTATGTTCAAAGTGCTTATTTTAGATTTTTAAAAAATCTCTCACTATTTTTAGCAAATTCTTTTAAATATTATAAGCAAAAATAATTTAGATGAATATTCTTAACTATATTTTTGACTATCTCATTTTTCACATACTTAGGAAGATTATATATATATCAACGGTAGGTTATATATGTATCAACAACTAAACGGAAGGCCTTATCTATATGAATGTTCATGAACAAACTTTCAATATCATGAATGACAGGTAAGAATATATTGGTCATGAATAGTAAAGGAAATTAATTGTTCACGTAAAAAAGTTTACTGTGGAAAACATACAGGTTGTTTAGCTGAGGATATAGAGAGAGAGTAGTAGGAATTTGACCTATGATGGAGAGGATACCTAGTTTTTGAATTTTGGGTAGTTTCTGGGTAATGGAATTACAGGAAATAAGGTTTTTGTAATTTATAATTTATAAGTTTTAAAATATTTTTAAGGTACTGTTTAAATTTGTGTTTAAGTGAAGGAATGAAGTCACAGGATGTGGAAGAATAACAGGATCAGTCATTTTTTCATTATATTCAATATAGTCCATGATAACAGTTTTGTTTTCAGTGGCTGTTTTATTTATTTATAAAAGCCTGAATGAAGAATCAAATGAAATTTTAACATTTATTTTTAACCAGATTTGGTATGACTGGAATATTTATTTTAATTATATTTAGTTACTTTTCAAGCAATATAATTTTAAGGGGACTTTAATGTAATTATATAAAGACTTTCCAAAGAATGAATTATACTTCAAATTTTTACATTTTTTTATGTCTTACAATGTTTCAAGCCAAATGGTTCATTTTCAAGCTAAAAAAATGATCACTTACCTAACGAGTTTCCATACTACACAATTCAGTTGTCTCTTACTTTCAGTCCAAAAATAAAAAACAAATATTGTTCTTAACATTTTATTTGCATTTAATATAATGTATGTCAATTCATAAACCCGATGCTAGGTAGTACCTCGTTTGAAAAGTAAAGTAATAAGAGTATAAAAGATCTATGAGAGCCATACAAGAAAAATATAATTCACATTCCTTAAGTAATGGTTAAAAATAAAAAAAATGAGGAAGAGGAACTGGAGAATTAATTGAGCAGTCAGATACAAATATGAATTTTGCTGTACAATTCACTGGTTGACAGACATAGGAGCTTCCATTCTATCCCTAACGATCTTGTTCCAAATTCTCTCCATCCTTGTCACATGTAGGTATCTCCTCAAATTCCATCTCTCCATCCATGGAATCTCTGTCCAAACCCATCTCCACAGCTTAAACCTTTGAATAAAGCTGGGAAGACGTGGTGTAGGTTTCAAGCTGTAGGGATGGACTAGGATGGAGAGACGGAATTAGAGATGCCTACATGTAAAAAAGATGGACAGAATTAGGAACAAGGTCATTAGTCGTTAGAGACAGAATGGAGGCTTTTGTGTCCATTAACCTGAGTATTGTACAGCAAAGGCTGATGTGGTAAGATGAATGTCTGCCGAGCGATGACCTAACTAGAATTCTTGATTGGCAGCTGCCAGAAAGACTGAGACAAGGATAACTCAATAAAAGGTAGATATATGAAGTGAAAGAGGAGATGGCTGGCTGTTGTTTTCAGGATGGAGATAGCTTGACCATGACCTCTGGAGCTCAGCCCTGACTTGAAAAGACAACCCTTGATGGAATGCCCAGATAATATAATAATCCCTTATCTGGTGATTCATTAGCATGTGGAAGGTTCACGCATTTTGACAATGAATGCTGTGACGCCTCTAAAGCCTGTGAACTAATTAATCTCTTGTATTTGGAAGTTCTTAAATGGGCTGTCACAAGGTAGTCTACTAAATACCAAACAAAAGACCACATAAGACAGGAGAAGCTGGTTTCATTCCATTTCAAGGTTTGGAAATAAGGAATCAGGAAGGATATTGTCTTAAGTGAGGATGTTTAGACTGTAGAAAAACTTAATTAAAATTATACCTAGTAACTAATATATTAAGAAGCAAAATTGAAATTAGGTCTGTGACTAAACTTGAAAAATATAAAATAAATATATACCTCCACTATTTCTTGAGCTGCAATGCTTACTTTATCTGTTCTATTGGCAAATTCCATTTTAGCTTTATATTCTCTTTTTTTATTTAACATCAGTTGTGAATGTTGACAATTCTGATATACCTTCACCCGTTCATGAAATACACACTAAAACAAAATAAAAATTGTATTAATGAATCCAAATAATTAATACTTTTTAATAAAGTATTTAATACTTCCAGCATATGAATAAGACTTGCAAAGATTATTCTTTTGAAATCTTGTAAGAGATCAGTCAGTAATATCATAATACAGCCATGCAATATTTTTTAATTGAGTATAAACCTCAATCTTAAAGGATTGTAATACTAGTATAGCTGGAGGAGACTAGTCTAGCAAGTAGGCCTTGTTCTTTTTAGGCAACCCTTAACATCTGCCTAACAGTAGCCAACCTATACATGTTTACAATAACTTTTCCATTAGTTGTTATAAAGGATTTGGATTAAATATACATCAATAAATATACAATTTTGATTAAATGAAATAAGGATAAAAGGGAGGGATTAATTTGGTTAATGATGATTCATGTTAAGCTTAATTAGCTTAAATTTAAAGATTGAATCTATTGTTCTCCATTAAACATTGCTGCTTTTAAATTTAGCAACATTTAAGAGAACCTACTGATACCCAATGTATCACACTCACATATTAAATTCTCTGTCTACTACATGTGCAACCTTCAAAATAAAGTCAATAAATCAAGCCAAAATCAGAAATGCCTATAATGTCAGCTATGATAATCTTCAACCCTCAACAGCCTCTCTGGAGAACATTACTTCTACTCATAAAATCGAACCTACCACCTTCAGTTCAAAATCTCGGTCCTTACAGAAAGATCACGTGTCTCTGACCAATATATTCCCTCCCATAGAACTAAGACCTATGAACAATAAACAATCCTTCTTAGCCCGCTCCGTTACCTTCTGGAATTCCTTACCATCTAACATCTGTCATGCCTCTTCCCCGTCATCATTCAAATGCCTCCTTACTTCCCAAACAGACAATCTGCCTTCATAAAATTTCACTTTGTGAATTGAATTTTATTAGAAGTAAATAGTAATATATACTGTTCAAGTTTTAACATAAGAGTTTTAAGTATAATATATATTCTTTTTCCCCATTGCAACTATAATTATGGTGAAGGAGATTTTACTTTTTTTTTTTAAATTGTTTACATATTATTACTTAAATTACAGTAAATATGGTATAATTTTTATTAGGTTAGCCTACTGTTTGTTTTAACTTCAGAGATCAATGCTTTTTCTTTGCTTGCTTTTGTTCATTTGTCTTCTTTCCGTGTTTTTTATATATATATATATATATATATATATATATATTTTTCCTTCTCATTACAATTGTAAATATTCTTGAAAAGATTTCATTTTTATTTTTGTAGTATTTACAGATTATTTTTTAAACTACTGTTAGAATTTATATTAAGTTAGCCAACTGTATATGTTTTTAAAATAAAAAATCAATGCTTCGTCTTTTCTTATTTTTCTTTTCTCCAAGTTTTTCTCTTGCTTACATACATACATGCATGTATGTATGTATACATATATAATTTTCTTTTCTCACATTACAACCATAAGTATTATTGAAAAGAATATACATGGTATTTTAGGATTAATTGGTCAAACTGAAAATATGAATTAAGGACCTGAAAATAAGAAAAAAAATTCCTATGAAGGTATGTTCGCAAACGCTTTCTTTAGGAGATATTCACAACTAAAGATTTTCATTGTTATGAATTAATTTACCTTATATTAAGTAAAGAAAATATTTAATATAAATGTTAATGTTTACATTTAATTAATAAAACAGTTAGAACAAATAAATAGGTTTTATTTATTTCATATAACGTAAATAATTCATAACAACGAAAATCTTTAGGTGTGAATATCTCCTAAACAAAGCATTTGCGGACATACTTTCGAAGGAAATTTTTTTCTTGTTTTGAGATCCTTAGTTGATTTTTGCAGTTTGGCCAGTTAACCCTGAAACACCCTGTACTTTTTGTTTTAGTTGTTAACATATTATTTTTATGAATTTAGTTTTTGGCCAAATATGTATTTTTTTTTTTAATTTGTTCATTATTGTTATTCTGAGGGAAATTCTCTGTCCCAGGATAAAGTTCATTTTTCTAAAAACGGCTTTGAATGAGTTCGTTTACTTAAAATAACGAAAGATGTAAATCTACCCAAAAAGGCTTTCTTTGACACCACTTGAAATAGGATATTTTAAAACTTATTCAACAGAATGGTTTCAGTACAGGAATCTGTCTTAAATTAGAGTTAAATCAGTTATTCTACTAAACTTTGTTAATTAAGAATTCTAAAATTTTCCATTAACTTTCTATAATTTTTAAAAAGTTCTGTTTGAGGTTGAACTGTTGACTACACTCTGGCGGAAAATAAAATTTACGATGAATGTCCCTCTCTACTCCGGAAGGACAAATATTCTCACAAACTCTCCATTAATCTCTCTTCTACCAGCTACATGACACATTTTATTACAGTAAAAATACTATTTGATTCACTTGTCATTATTTTTTTATAGATATATTTTTTTGTCATACTTACAGAGTTATATGTTTTTTTGTTACACCTTGTTATAGTTATATGATTTTTAGTTATAATGTATATTATTTTAATATTCAATATCAGTTTTTTTTTTTAAATTTTGTTTCTTGATTAAAATTTTCAGATTTTAACTAAGCGAGTAACAAAAAAAAAATCATTGTTTTTTTTTAATCTTGGTAATTTAATTGTCAACTTTTGTTCATTAAACAAAAAAAAAACAAGTTTTTATGAAAAGAGCTAATCGAAATGTCAAATTTTGTTTATCAAATGGTAAAGATAAATAAATGTTTACAGGAATCAGAATCGAAAAGTAAATTAAAGTATTTTTGAAGCAGATAATATTCTAAATTTCAAAAAACGGCAATGTTAGATTCGTAGAGAGTAAAATAATTTTTTTGATAGATTTTAGATGCTTACAGATAGAATATACTGAATTCAGTTGATTTTTAAAAATTGTTGTAACGCCTTTTTAATACATACCAGTATTTATCTTCATCCATGATTTTTTTTCATTTATTTCCTTGGTAAACAACAAATGGCAGGAGAAATTTAGCCTCTTCAAGATCCTCTGAAGGTTTTCACCATGAGTGTTGTGCCGTTAAATAAGAGGTCTGACGAAATTGTCTGTTGACTAGTACCGCTCAAAATACCATTTGGAAAGCTGAAATTGACTTTTTGTCAAAAATCGTTGTTTGGTACAGTAAAAGTTTGGCCAGATATGATTAAATGCTGGTAAAAAAAATCTTGTTCAAATGATCAGTTACTTTTAAAATGTTCAGATCATTGTTATAGAAAGACTCGGCTTAAAAGTTCACACATTTTTTAACTTTGTGGTAGTGAATGAATGGAAAATATCGACTAAAACACTGGAAGCCTCTTTAATAAAAGGCATATTTTTATTAATTTTATCACTAGCTCATAATAAAACAGTCACAATATGACTAATTCCTTCACCTAATTGATATTATCATTGTTCACCTTCCACCCCAGGTATTTGAAAATATTTATTCCAGTCTTAAGTCAAGAGTGGCAGTCGGTGTTGCTGCAGTCATTATTGATGTAGACATCTCACTGAAGGTTTTCGATCAATTTTCGAAGATTCAGAAGGATGCAGAAGATTTGCAGTAGAGCAAATCTGCAGTTTCCTTCAAACCGCAACAATTACCTAAAATTAAGAATGGTAACTGATGAGCAGAAAAATTATTCAATCAACTCCGATTTTTATCTTCTAAAAAACGGAAAATCAGTTAATATAAAATTGTTGGTTGATCAAATTCAATTAACTACGTACACGTTTTTCAATACTTATATTATGTCTATGAGTGTAAATTATTTTATAACTCTTAATGGTTCGGCCCCAAATATCTTAGGTCTATAGTTGAGAGGGGATATGATAGTTCCTGTCAAGATAAAAAGTACTATGACCAGTTCTTTGCCATTTGGGACCACTGTGTTCTCAATTTTTAAGCAGGGCTAATGTATCTGAACTTTGCAAAGAAGAGGAAGCCCTTAAACCAGGGAAACAAAGAAAATAAAAAAGTACCAAAAGCAACACCAACAGTTTCAATGACACAACAATGCCCAACTATGTTTATTTATATTATTTATAAAAAGAGCAGCTTAACAAGAAAAAATCACTCATTTCTTAAAAGCAGCATTCTATTTGATATGAGATATATTTATTTGATGCAACTTTGTCTGATGTTTTGAAATGATTAGGTTTCAAATGGAAAAAATATATGGTAGAAATCTTTATATGGAAATATTTGAAATTGTAAACTGGTACCAATTTATAAGAAAAATTACTTCAATAAAATAAAATTAGCATGAATTTGGGGGCCTATACTATACAAAAAATGGCACAAACCAGAATCCCGCAAAGAAATTAGGCTTGGGGATAAAAAATAAAAACGTTTGGGAAGAGTGAAGGCGTGAAATCTAAAATTTATCAATATAGTTTTGAAGAGCAATAATTTAGCTTTCCAACAGTTGTAGTAATGTCGATTAGGAGAAAAACCTGAGGAGTTATGAATATTTTAGTAAACGGCAGGAAAAAAAATCCGTCCATAAAATTACACCCAAAAATTTATATTTTTTGATTTCAAAACAAACTCGTATTTAAGAGTTTTAGTGATAAAAATTTACCTGGCCTTCTTTACTAGAAGCGCCTATGGCTATTTGTAATTTATTATACCTTATAATTTGTTTAATAAAATTAGCAATATGTTTTTCTTATTTTACACAAAAAAACAATCGATTGATATATAATAACTTATAAATCCATGCAGAGCAGAATTAGAAAACAGTAACATAAAATACAATAGAATTAAATTAAACATTTTTTTTCTCGGCTCCTAGAGCGCATTGGCAAGAACCCTCAGACATGGGTCTAATATTTTTGACCTAGTATCACCAAAAAAAGTTTCATTGAAATCGGTGACCTCACGTCCGTAACCTCCCCTGGTAAGTTATAAATTTGGTATTTATAAATTAAAACTATATAAATGTTCTCAGACAAAAATGAAT